GGAAACAAGTGGGAAGAAAGAAAAGCTTTTGGAAATAGAACCCTCTACCTTGGCCTTCACCACCCACTTGCAAACTTGCCCATTTTTTTCCTGTTAAATCAAATAAAAGACACCTTCTCTCACAGAACAGTCTCAACTTGCTTAATTTAAACTTTGAGTTGAATTACAAAGCACATTTAACGTCACTGCTGTGACACCTACACAGAAAGGGCCTGGCTACAACTCCCATTGAAGTCAGGAGCACAACTCCCACTCATTCCTGTGAAGGAGTATCTAAAATCTAAATTACCCTCCTGTCTCTGAACTTCCTGGTATGGAATTAAAGAGGTCACAAGGGAAGTTTTTGCCCTCACTGAATTACCACAAACAAAATGTATTTTAAGAGCCTACTGGCTGGTCAAGTAATTTATTCCACATAAATGAAACGCATCAGAGTTTGAAGACTTACTATTAAGTAGAAGTTTGAGTTCTACAGTGTATGTTTTGTTTTCACAAAGAGTTGCATACCACCTGTTCCTTCCATTTGCTGGTTTTTGTTGGCTTTTTTTTTTTTCCTGAAGACACTGGAATGGAATTAGTCATTAAAGCCCACAAACACTTCCTCAGTTAAGTAACTGGTGCTCAGGAGCTGCAGGCCTCAAAAGAACAACTTCCTCAGATACTCCTTCAATAAATATTTCTCTGGCCCTGCCTCTGGGTCTCACATCTGGTGTTCAGTAGAACGTTAACCAAAGCATTTGCTATCACTCAGAAAACTGCTGCTATATTTATCTTTAGAACTCTGCATCTTAATATATTTTATGAAATCTGAGGCAGCAACAACAACAAAAAACCACTGGCCTTCATAAGCACACCTATTTCTGTACATTCACCATCTAAGGCTTTGAACAACGCAAGCGAGTGGGGCTGTGGACGCACAGTGTGAAGGCCCAGCTGCACCTGCAAGAATAAAGCAAGCCAGCTCTTCTGCTGTGCAATACTGACAAACCTGCGCTGCCTTCAGTAGACTCACACCAAGCGAAAATCCATGAGAGCCAACGTGGCAAACACATCTGGCTCCACTCCTATGAATGCTCCCCACAGTAATAGAGGAGAAAACATTATAGGCACAGCTCTCCTTCAACAACTTCCCACCTCACTTCCTCCCGAGGGCACACGGGTTTCCCCGGTCCACAGCCGACCCACTGGCTCTCAGTAGGAAGGCATCACGTGGGAGCCATCCTGCTTCCCCACATCTGAGCACAGGAGCATCACACGGCTCTGCCAGGCACACGCTCAGCCTATGAGGCAGGGCTGCTTAACGTCGCAGCTCGATGGCTCCGTTCCTGAACGGCTGGATGCAGCCCAGAACACGTGCTGTTCTAACTCTTCAGTGCACTCGCTGGACCACAGCCCTGCTGCCCCCAGAGCCTGCAGCACTGCCCAATGCAGTGCACGGCAGCATGCTGCTGGGATGCATAGCAGCTCCCCGGATGAACAAATTCTGCCTCTGCCTACAAGAGGAGCACTAAGAACAATAAGGCAAACCATGCTTCCAACCTCCTGGATTTATTTTTTCCCATAAGCTCAAGTTCCTTGTGACTTTTACGTGTGCAGCCAAGGTTCCATTTAAATAGCTTCTGCCTCACGTGATAGAACACGATCTCTTTCTAGCCAAGGTATTTAACAGCCCTTAGCACCAAAGCAAAGATACTGGATACGACGATTTTAATGCCTTCAAAAGGGAAATGAGTCTGGCATTTCAGGCTTTTTTTTTTTTTTTTTTTTTTTTAAATGTAGCACAACAAAGAACATCACAGAGGAAACCTAATAGGGAAAGGAGCCAGCCTCAGTATAACATCCTTGTTGCACTGCCCTCACTCCCATACAGCACACATGGCACTGCTCTGTAGAGGAATCCCTGCCATAGGAGCTGGCAGTGTGGCTGAAGCCATTCAGCTTCTGCTCCCAGCTGTAACGTGGGAGACACTGCTATTGATGGCCTACGTAACAGCTGTGTAAAACGACTTGAGGTGCATTACCTCACACTGGGAACTGGTGATCCAGCTGGAGTGATGACATCACTGCAAGAGATCAAGTGCCTTCTTACAATCATTTATTTGTTGCTGTATAGCCAGCCACTTCTACAGAATAACCAGACAAAAACAGCACTAGTTTTAAAGATTGAAGTAGGAAAGGCTTCATAGTGCAAGTGGTGATCACAGCTGCCATAACTCTTAACAGCACAGAGGTAAACTTTCAAGTAGCACTCCCTTCTGTTTACAGGATGTTTAAAACACAAGTTCAACCCATTTTTCCACACCTCATATTTGACAGAGAACAGAGATCTGCAAAAGCAAAAAGCTTTTCTCAGATTCAGTAGAAAGGCAGAGGATCTCCAGAATAGGCTCAACCACACGTGACCTTCACAGGCCTCCTCCTGAGGTGCTGATCCACAGGCTGAAGACCGCCTTGCAAGCAGTATCCACACACAAAGGAACGTCTATCTAACATTCAGTTAGATAACATGGTTCCTTGGGCCTCTGAAAGTATCTTTTTTTCCATACCACTTGTAAATTAGCCACGAATTAGTACCGATATGGAAATTATTTCTAACGCAAGTTAATATTCCTCCTGTGAAATACTTGGTTAAGATTTAAAAATACATTTTTGTCGCATGCTTTATTTTTCAGATTCTCAGTAAAACAACACTGCTGCACTGCCATTTCAGATTTTGTTTTGAGTACGTGGGTTTCACTGCCATGCAAGTACGAGAAATTAGGTAATATTTAGGTTCAACATGTGCCTGAGCTTGCACAGACAGGCCTGAGAGAAACTGTCTTGCTTTCATTCCTTTGTGCAAGATCTAAAACTGCTAGTGATGAGCAAGGTGATAGAAAGTGCTTTGGGGCAGTCCAGAAAGCAGTGCAAGAAAGGATGAAGATTTTTTCAGTGTCATTATGTGAGCTGTCTAGAAGGTGAAGTGAGGGCTATAAGGACAGCTATCATGACAAAAGAGAATAGAGCACAGGGTGCTGTGGAAAAGTAACAATCTGAACGTGGCTCAGAGTTATGCAGGAGAAGGAGCAAATACTATCAGACAGAACAAGGGGAAAAAAGAATAAATTGAAAAGGTTTACTCAGCCTTGGTCTGGGGCTGCTCCTGCAGCCAGTGCTGTCTCATCGGCTAATTCAAATGGGATTCAGGCTGCTGATTCATTAGGATAAGGTTTGGCTTTTTTCTTCTCCATTTATGCAAGAACACAACTTTTCCCACAGTGACCTGTGAGCAGCTCAAAAACAGCTGAAGTTACCGACATTCTGCTGTTTATTACTGGCAAAATCGAATTATCACTAATACCCAGGAGCAGACAGGAGTTCACCTCACCCTTTCAGCCAAAAACTCACCAGCCCGCATTGACTTTTCTGGCTGCATGCCTCCCTGTTTGCAAAGAGCTTTTGGTAAAAGCAGATGGCAAATTCAATACCTGCAATCACGACTTTAGAAGCTCAGACTCGCACTAGCGAATCAAAAGGCAAAACGAAGTCTCTTCAAGTTCACTGTTGCTCCTTGCAAGGAGCACCAACCAAACAGCTGTGGATACACTTTAAGCTCAGACTCTCAGCTCTCTCTCCCCACCAGTTTGCTGGAGTTAGATTCATTACAGCTTTCAGTGACCCAGCTCTTGTTGACTGCTTAACTTTCTGCGTGATGAATCACATATAATCCCCAAAAAGCCCTGACATGCAAAGGCTGACAAGGAGCATCTAAAAAGAAGTACCTCCCAGTCACTGGGCTCAAAGCTAGAACTTTTCTGGATGGACAAGGAATAACAAACACCATGAGCAGGACCCAGCAGCTTCATTTCATGCCTCTTGACAACTGGAGGCTCACTGACACCCCACCTGCTTCTCTCACTGCCTTCCACAACCACCAAGGCTTACCTGACTGCAGCAATTCTTACCAGCTTTCTGAAAACAAACTTTATTTTCTGTACTGCAGGCTGTCTGTATTCTAGGGTGGGGGAAGGGGCTGCAGAAAGAGCAGAAAATTCACAGCCACATGAAACCACCCCCAGTACAGAGATGCAAACAACACATGTCCCAGGTTAGACTCCATTCCCTACTCAGAGCAAGAATCAGCTGCTGGAAAAAGGGAAGAAAATACACAGAACTATAACTTAATCCCAGCTGCATGTTATCACCAGATAAGCCTGGTGCTTGAAAATTTCAAGTAGCTGAGTATTTTTTGGCTGAGGAAGAACAACTAAATGAAGTGAGAATGGTATTTACCAACACTCCGTGTTGCTTTTCGTCTGTGCCCTTCAAATAACCAAAAGCTGTCTGCATCCATGACACAAACCTTTCTCTAAATAGATAATGCCAGAGCGCAGTGACAAACTCATGTATCAGCTTTTTTGTTTGTTTGTTTTTTACATCTGTGCTGTGTTGCAGATTTGAGCATTCTGTAAACAACCTCAACCAAGCATTTCAACAAAGCAGAGGAGCAATACCTCAAACAAGGTGTGTGTGTGTGCAGACTGACACCCGGGTAATCAGTTCACACTGCAGAGAACATGGTTGGCAACAACCAACCCTAAATTTGAAATGCAAATAGAGGAATATGCAACATAAGATCCAGCTCACAGTGCTTGTACTCAGTAGCACTTGCACTGGGATAGCTCAGCTCGCACTGCAAGCCAGCCATTTCCTATGGAAAACCAACACACGCACAAAAAGAATTTAACAACACCTCAGTGAGTTTTATTTTTCACCTAAGTTTCCACATCTGCACCACCAAGTCCTCCACTGCACAGCCCAGGAAGCGTACTCAATATCTTTGATCAAATTACCCTCGAAACACAAAACACACACATGCAGGGTTAAGAGGAATCCTGTCAAACTGATGCTTGAACAAGGCTCAGAGATTCAGAGGCAATCCATCGGGGTACAGTCAGATGTGCAGCATTGCCAGTGATCTGAAACAACCGACATCAGACCAACAAAAAGAGAAAACTCACTTTTGGTGTAGTTCTCACGTTGGAAGTCTCACGATACTTCAGTTCAGGTTGCCACAATCTGAAACAAAGCAAAACCCCTCAGTTAGTTGCAGCAAGGACATTTTTTTTTTTTTTTTCCCCAAAATGAATCATAATTCCTGAATTACAACCTGTGAGTAACAAAATAACCTCCTTCTCTGCTTTTGTTAACATTCAGAATTACTCCGAATTAACTTACATTAATTACTTACTGATATGTATGAGACCGAGTCACACTACAGAGGCTGGACTGTTCAGAATGCTTAGTTTCACATCAAGGAGATCAACACCGAAAAACAGAATCCAATGAAACATGAGCTACACTGATGGCTTCTATTAGCATCAGGTTCACTTAAACTGAACCCCTCCTCTCTTTACAGAAGGGAGACAAGCTGCAAGCAGAATATCTTTCATGTATGTAGGTTTACAGGTAGTGATTCACCAAAAATCACAAAAATGAGGTGGTAACGCCAAAAAAACCAGAAGTGAATCAGCAAACAAAGAACATAGATAATAGAATGCATTTTGCCAACTGCTTCCTTTCTTTCCCCCACAAATCCCACAGTTGTACTGCATAACAGCAGAAGAGATGCTTCACAAGCTGCAGACAAGACTGATGGGATCTGTAAATTGAGCAAAGCCGCAAGGGAGATGTGCTGCCCAACAGTCACAAGAGAGCTCTATTCTGTGCTCTGGTACCACCATATCTTAAGATGAATATGATATCGCAGCAGCATAAGTGAGGATTAATTACTGCTTTGCAAATCCTGGGAAAGGTTGGACAGGAGTGAAGTACTCACATAGGGCAAACTGTTGCTATTAACAAATTGAGGCAAATCGCCCAACAGGAAGGAAAAACAGGCAGAATTTCCTTCCTACCTTCACATCAAAACTCAACAAAAAAGACCACTTTCCAGTACCATCGCTCCTAATCAACATATATCTCACCTGGACAATTAACGTCTGCCAAAATACGGCTAAGAAACCACAGCTGAACAAAGCTGTTCCAAATAGTTACTGTTTGTCAGGGGGATGATAAATTCTAGCAAGGATAAAGGCACTTTGTACTTTTGGTTAACTCTGCCATGTCCATAAGCACAGGTATTATCACTGAAAGCAATGGGAATCTTGCCACTGACTGCATCCAACTCAGAAACCAAGCACGCAAAGTGAAGGGCAGATTCAGTGTCTTGCCTAATTTAGCACAAGGGAATGACTGAATCACAAACAGAAAGCAAGGGTCTCACCCCTTTTTGATATGAGATGACATTCTCAAAGTGTGGATGCCCCATCCCTGGAGGCACTCAAGGCCAGGCTGGATGTGGCTCTGGGCAGCCTGGTCTGGTGATCGGTGACTTGGCACGTAGCAGGGGGGTTGAAACCAGATGATGATCATTGTGATCCTTTTCAACCCAGCCCATTCTATGATTCTATGATAGCAAAAACACACAGGTTTGCATTGCATGCTGCTGTCACTGAGCAAATGCCGAAAGCAAAGCCAAGAGAAAAGTGGAACAAAACAGCTCCGCTCTTTCTTCTTTCCTCCCAGTAGCTTAAAACGAAAAGTCAGTTGTTACAATACGTTGTCCAGGCGTGGTTCCTATTATCTTTGGTTAATTCCATATGTCTGAGGAGGAAATCAGCTCTAAGCCGGTTAGACTTGCTAAATGAGATTTGCCTAAGGCCCCACCCCCAGGGGCAGTGCCATGCACCACAGATTTGGCATTCTTCAGAAAGATGCTACTTGTCCAGACACTGCTAATAAGGGCCAGCAAAGCAGAACCCTTTAATGATTTACAGTGTATTCATTCGCCTCTTAAGCAAAACTTCACTTTGCACCTCCTTATCTCCGAAGAGCTCCTAGTCTACACCCAAAGCAAGACACAAGTAGCTCCATTCTGCCAAATTTCTGATGAGCACATAAAGGAGATGCACAGAAGCTGGTGTTTCCAGCAAGAACTTCAAGCATCTTTAAGGACTAGTCCAAGTTTTAGACACTCTAGACTCATCCTAGTACCTTGGGTCATGATAACAGGGACACAGACTTGTTGCTAGCAAGGCAGTAGGGTTGTAAAACACAGATCAGACACATATTTATCCTTCTGCTTCACTTACTCTCTATAAACTCTGCTTTGAGAACCTCCAAATTTCCAGAATCACAGCCCTGACTCATACGGACAGTAGTGAACAGCCAGGATACATTTAAGAGAAGACTGATAATAAATGAAGTTCAATGCCAGCTGCTTGACTCAGAGCAAAAACTAGTAAGCACTGCCGTGTGTTGGCATTTTGTCTTCTGAATGCTTGTTGGCTAATAAAAATCAGGAGCTGCTGTTAAAGAACACGTCTATATTGAGTAATTTATCTACCCCTTTCCTGTAACTACAGCCACATTTGCCAATAGTGTCAATTTTTATGTCATGCGTGCCCACAAGGAGTCACACTTACATATCTGGCTACTGAAGTGTTTCACTGGCAACTTTGAAGCAACCTACCCCAGAGAAATCAAATTGTCTGGTATTTGCTACGTTTCAGCCTACGTAGGCCCTGAGAAAGGGGCATATGCTACGAAGAGAGCCTATTTAGCTAAGATACCCAGCTGGATGCATCAACATAACTTCTACCACATTTCATTGGGCACATTTCATTTTAGAAGATGCAGGTGGTTCTGGCTAAATGACACACTCTGCAAATCTGAAGGCAGAAGAGATTGGGCAATGGTGACGGTGAAATGACAGCACCAACTGCTCCAACAGAAAGAAGCAATAATCATAGCTGATTTGAAATAATGAAAGACAGATTTCAAGTAACTGCACAAGAGGCCAGACAAGTGCTGAACAGGTAATAAAAACATGAAGGTAAGCTACTCTGAGGGGCACAGGAAAGCTGAAACAAAATGGAGAAAGAGCTGTTTAAGGAATATTAAGAGCAGCCTCCTGTTGATAAGTCAGCTGGACCAGATTGAAGTAGTCCACAATTATTTAAAAACAAAAACTAATGAAGGAAACCACTGAAACTGCAAGCTCGTGGAAGTGCTGCCATAAGATAAGCAGAGGGCCACCTGAAATGGAAAGAGGAACATGGCAACCCAGACAACTAGAGACCTATCACTCTAACACAGATGCTTCAAACAAAGTTATCAATCTTAAACACCTAGAAGATTATAATAATCCAAATCAGTCCAGCTCTATTAAAAAATATGTATAAAAATAATAAAGACAGACTGATCTAGCTGGTTTTGTTTGTTTTGCAAAATAACATTCTGGGAGAAAGGAAGGGTGGCACAGATGCTGTGTTCTGCAGGGGTTGGAAAGAGCTCTCAGATGTCCTGTCTGCTGGTCAGCTGAAAGCACTGAGCTGCAAGAGTTCGGAAGCATTTCATTAGATCCAAACCCGTCAAAAATCAACGCCATGAAATTCAATGACATAAAGGCTGCATTGCTTAGAAGAAAAGGAGAGGACAAGCCAGTAATCTGACAGCAATCCTGAAAGGCTGCAGCTGTGCTTGCCACCAGCAGCCCACTTGCCCTGTGAACGGGTGGGACAGGAAACCCCTGGAAAATCTGCTGCTTTGACTCCAGATGTTATTGTTTCTCTGTTGCAAAGAACTGCCTTGCAGAGTCAGCAAAGAGAAACAGGTTTCCGCACACAGCTTCTTCCGGCAGCATCTTAGCTGAAGCCCAGCGGGCTGAGCCCAGGCACCAGACTTCACACAGAAGCAGCTGGGGAGCAACCCACGACCCGCTGCTGTGCTTATTCTTGGGCTGAGACAAGTCACATCTCACAGAAAAGCAAAGTGAGCAACTGGATATTCAGCTTCCACAGACATCTTCCAGAGCTCTTCTGTCAGAGCTGTCAACCCAGTACTGTTAACACTGATCTGCCACACAGACGTGCCTTAACACAGGAGATAATCCTCCAGAGTATAAAGCTAGCAGTTGTTGAACATGTCTGGAAGACTTGCAAAGGAGATTTAGGCTAATCTAACTAAATTAGGTACTTACTGAAGCAGCATACCACCTTCACTGGATGCTCCAAAAAAAAAAAAAAAACAAAAAAAAAAACAACCAAGCAGGACACAGCTACCTTGAGGAACCTGCCTCCACAACCGAGCTCTGCGTCGCACCTTCCTTCCTGCCTCACACATTCACCTTTCCTTCATCTGCCTACTACAGAAAACAGACAGTCCAAGGGGGGTTTTTTTTGTTGCTTGCCTGCTCGCATGTTACGAAGCCATGTGGCAGGAGCTGCAGGTGCACGCTGAAGCACTTGTCCCTGCCAATACACTGGGCTAATTCACGTTTTGGACCAAGGTTCACATGGGAAGCCTACTGCTGCAGCCCACCAACAGCCATCTGCATGCGAAGACAACAAATGCATCTTTTGTTCCTATAAAGAACATCAGACGTTTCAAAGCACACTTCATCTGTAATTGGGAGAAGACTGTTCCTCGTGTGCTGTGGTATTTCTGATACCATCTCTTACTACCTAAATGGTAAGCTCAGCGAGTTCTTAAAATCCCAGAATTTTTTTGCTTGCTTAGACATGAAAAATGACCAGAGCTGAAGAGGCGAATGACGTAACAGATAGGTGGGATATCTTCCCTGCTGTGGAAAAAGGAGCAAATACACATTCAGTTTCATTAATGGACTTTGAGAGCCTAGTTTCCCAGAGGCTACATGCCACACACACCCTTTCAACTTTAATCTTCCAGTTTCAGGGATTTTCACACTGAAAGTACATTGCATGCTGCTGATGCTCCTGCAGCAACAGAACCTCAAAGCTTCTGTTTGGTTCTTTGATTGGTCCTGTTATCCCTTTACCACTCTTTAATGCTTAAACATATTTTCAAAGACTCTACAAGCTGCAAGGGTAAAAACGGTGCACAAAAATATCTAACAAAAAAAAAAAAAAAAAAAAAAAAAAAAAGACTTGAGTTTCAAGAGCAATCTATGTTGCTCTAACTCTGCTCTCCTGAACTCCCAATTCATTGGCATTAATGCTGTACGAAATTACACAGTTGGAAGCCTTCAGTGAGAA